GAATCAGAAACATGCTTGAAGCGGTAAAGACTTGTCTAGGTTGTTGGGGTTAGCATAGGTTGAAACCAGAATAAAGATGATTACAGTGTCGAGGATGCATGATAGTGTTAGAAGTGTCGAGAAACCTGTGAAATTTGGTCCGAAATTGGCTAAGAAACCATAAACATGTCTTTGAAGCAGTAAATGGCTTGTCTAGTGTTGTTTGGGGGTTAGAATATGTTATAATACAATGAATTTGATTGATTCCAAGTGCTAGAAATGCACAAGAGAGTTTAGAAGCTGGAGAAAGACTTGTTTAAATTTGTCCCACATGGGCTAAGAAACCATCAATATGTCTCCGTAGCAGTAACTGGCTTTTTTATCGTTGTTTGGGGGTTATACTATGTTTCAAATACAATAAATTTAGATTGATTACAAGGGCTAGAGATGCATGAAAAGTGTTTAGAAGTGTGGAGAAAGATTTCTTGAATTATGGTCCGAAATGGGCTAGGAACCCACAAACATTGCTTTGAAGCATTTAATAGCTTATCTAGTGTTGTTTGGGGTTAGAATATTTTAAAATACAATAAATTTGATTGATAACAAGTGCTAGAGATGCATGAAAAGTCTTTAGAAGTGTGGAGAATGACTTGCTGAAATTTGGTCAACAATGGGCTAAGAACCCACAAACATTGCTTTGAAGCATTCAATGGCTTGTCTAGTGTTGTTTGGGGTTAGAATATATTAGAATACAATAAATCTGATTACTTACAAGTGTTAGAGATCAATGAAAAGTGTTTAGAAATGTGGAGAAAAACTTGTTGAAATTTTGTTCCAAATGAGCTAAGAACTCAGAAATATTGCGTTGAACCACTAAATGGCTTGTCTAGTGTTATTTGCGGTTAGAATACAATGAATTGGATTGATTACAAATGCTATAAATGCAGGAAGAGTGTTTAGAAGTGTTCAGAAAGACTTGTTGAAATTTGGTCCCCACTGGGCTAACAACTCATAAATATTGTGTTGAAACACTAAATGACTTTTCTAGTGTCATTTGGGGTTATAGTATGTTAGAATACAATGAATTTGATTGATTTCAAGTTCTAGAGATGCATGAAGAGTGTTTAGAAGTGTGAAGAAAGAATTGTTGACATTTAGTCCGAAATGGGCTAAGAACCCACAAACATTGCTTTGAAGCATTAAATGGCTTGTCTAGTTTTGTTTGGGATTAGAATATGTTAAAATACA